TACTACTAATACTACTACTAGTACTAGTACTCGTACTAGTACTAGTGTTGCTACTACTACTACTACTACTACTACTACTACTACTACTACTACTACTACTACTACTACTACTACTACGACTACAACTACAACTACTACTACTACTACTACTACTACTACTACTACTACTACTACTACTACTACTACTACTACTACTACTACTACTACTACTACTACTACTACTACGACTACTACTACGACCACTACTACTACTACTACTACTACTACTACTACTATTACGACTACTACTACTACTACTACTACTACTACTACTACTACTACTACTACTACTACTACTACTACTACTACTACTACTACCACCAAACCCCAAATCCGAGTCTTCCGACCCACGAGGCCCCCAGGAGGCCCGCAGGAGACCCCAAGAGGCCCCGAAGGCGCCGCAAGGAGCTCCAAAACGGCGCCAAAAGCATCAAAAGGCACCCCAAAGGCCCCCGAGATGCATCCCGCGACACCTCAACGAACACCCTAGAGGCCTGTGACCTACAACCCAGGCATGGTGGCGGGATGTGCCGAAGGCAATTCGATAGCACACCAGTCAGAAACAATGAACTTGAACTAATCACCCACCGAAGCATTCGACATGACTAGGGACGTTCGCGGAGGCGCTGATATCGCCAAACGCATCGGGCCAAACGGCTGAACCGAGCCCGTAACTTATGGAACCAATGCAACACATACAGGTTCGCATTGTACATTTCACTGTGCATCGCCACTGTGATATCCTCCAATCGCGCTACGGGCGTGCTCAAATTGTGGATACTGACGACAGAATGAACACGCAACAACTGCGTTTTCCAAAACTCTTGGCTACCGCACAAATCGGCGAAAATCCAGCAAGTCTGTCTCGAATCCGTGCACGAATTCGCCCCCGTGCCGCTCGGCACGAAGTGGGCGCGCCCTCAGGTCCTCTGCCCAATCCTCTGAGCCTCAGTCATCAACCCTGGTGACTTTACTAGGGGCCCTGATCCCAAATTCTCAGATCTGCTTGGGGTTGGCGTAATTTCCCTGGGCCCCGTCGCGTCTTCCCGCATTAGTGTTCCGGGCCCAAGAGGACCCCGAGACGTGCTAGAGGGCCCCAAGAGACCCAAAATACGGCCCCATGACAGCCCAAGAGGGCTTCGAGGCACCCCCAGGGAGACCCATGAGCCTTCCCAAGAGGGCTACTAGAGGCCAGAATCATTGATTCCAAAGGTTGTGAATGTTTCTGGGGTTCCCCACTTTTCTAGGTTCCGTCGCTCCAAAGTGACCCCAGAGGCCCACAAGACCGCCACAAGACGGCCCCAGAGGCCTCCAAGAGGGCCCAATGACGACCCCAGGGCGCCCAAAGACGGCCCAAGAGGCGACCAAGAGTCGGCCCAGGAGGGGCCCCAAGAGGGGGAACGCTAACCGAAAATCATACAATTCCGCCCAAAGAGGCACCCAGGAGGCCCCAAGAGGCCCCCAAGGAGTCCCAAGAGGCTCCCCAAGAGGCCCCTACGAGGCCCCTCAGAGGCCCCCAAGAGACCCAAAAGAGGCCCCAAGAGGCCCCAAGACAGTCCCCCAGAGGCCTCAGAACTGCTTCCAGGAGGCCACCGAGGAGGCCTCGACGACTATCTAATGGGCCTCAGGCCCACAACGCAGGCACGGTGGCCGGAAGGGCCGAAGGCCACTCGATCCGCTGCCCCCTGTTGGTCTTGCCACAGGGGTGCCTGGCATGCTGGACGTCCGAAACGTTTTTCTTTCTTATGAAGAACTCCGCCTGGGGCTTCTGCACAGCGCGCAGGTCACCCGGAAGACCTGGTTGCCCAAGATTTGTCCTGCTCCAAGTGGCTCCAAATATGGCCTACGATGACCTCCAAGACGGACAAGATGGCCTCCAAGTTCGCACAAGATGGTGCAAGATGGTCTCCAATAAGGCCTCAAAGAGTCCAAGATGCTTGTAAGTTCGTCCAAAAGCCTCCAAGACGGCTCAAGACGGCCTCAGACGCCCCCAAGAGGCCTCCAAGACGGCGCACGAGGCTTCCAAAAGGTCCTCCAGGAGGGATGGCAGAAGCCAACCGCATTGATTTCCCTGAAGTTTTGAACAAAGGTTGGACTTTGCTTTCTTTCGTTCTTCCGACGGCTCAACACGGCCCCAGAGCACCTCAAGATCCCAAGATCGCCCCGAGATGGCCCCAATCGTCTCCAAGATGACCCCAAGACAGCTCAAGATTCCTCCAAGACGGCCCCAAGGCCGCCCAAACGGCGGAAGAGACCTCCAAGACGCCGGAGATGTCCTCCACCCTGAAGCGACCCAAGAGTGCACCAAGTCGGTGCAGAGAGGCATCCAGAACGGCTTCTGACGGCGTCAGACGTATCATGAACGCCCCAAGACGGCCGCGGAGGTTCCCCAGAAGCGCCAAAAGGGTGCCACGAGGACCAAGGAGGCTCCCAAGAGGCTTCCAAACGGTCCAAAAAGCTGCCAGGAGGCCCCAAAGGTGGCCAAAGAGGGTCCGAAGAGGCCTCCGTTTCCTCCTCCTTTTCCTCCTCCTCGTCATCCTCCTCCTTTCTTCTCGAGGCTATCGCCCCACGAGAGCAGGTCCGGGAATAATTCGATTTGACCGATGATGACCTCCCCTGGTCAAGGCTCGAAGGGAGGCGCTGACGCGTCGTTCGGCCCCCCTTGGGGAGGAGTCGGATTCGGATGCGTCAGATCTTGTTTGACCCAGGGTCACCCTCGCTTTAGGCCCGTCCCCTACAACCCTCTCCACCTCCTGCTCCTCCTCCTCCTGCTCCTCCTCCTCCTCGTGATCCTCCTCCTCTTCCTCTCGATTTGTCCTCCCTCTCCTCATCCTCGTCCTTCCCCCACGTGCTCCACCAAGAATTTCCACAACGGCTGGGGGAGCACATGGTCCAGTAGCGTGCCCAAACTTTGCCCAAACGCTGGACCACACAAGCGCATCCTAAAATGGGGGCGGCGGTGATTCGTCGTGGGCGTCTTCGATAACTCCTCAAACAACGAGAGAGGCCAACTGAAAACTGTGGGCCGCTCCAGTTGCAGCCGCAGACATCGTGCGCGCCCGCAGTGTATGCGCCGCATGGCCAGCTTCCAAGTTGCAGCAATCTACCGCGCGAGCACGCACATACTCCAGAGTTCGTAATAAAAGGGAGGGGGTCTCAACCCTCCCAGACGAGAAGTTTTAGACCCCCCCCCGTGGGAGAACCCTCCAGAACATCGTCCCCAGACCCCCCCAGGCCCTCCAAGATAGCCTGGAAGAGACCTCCCCCGAAATGAGACCCCCCTCCCTTATTACGAAATCTGGAGTAGACATCGTGCGCGCCCACCCGCATGCGCACACCCGCAAGCGCATGTGACAACGAACGGTGCTGCACAGCGCGGGCTGCCGGCCCCGCGGGGCCCTCGTCGGAACCCCGAGGAATCGTACAGGTCGTTGAACTGGCCTTGCAGATGTGCTGCAGCGGAGTTCTGCGTGGATGTTTGCCTGAAGCTGCGAGCGAAAAACGAAGTGAATTTCGCGTTGATTTGTGCTAGTCTTTATCCCTGGCCAAAAAGAATCCGCACGAAGTTCACCTCGAAATCCGGGACGAAATCCTCCAGGACACTCCGGGCCTATCGTTTTCCGAACGAAATCCGCTCTGCGATGTTGGCGCCATGACACGTGAAAACGACTGTTGTTGCACAGCGCGGGCTGTCGGCCCTGCAGGGCCCCCGTCGGAATCCCTGAGAAGCGTGCAGGACGCGTCGAAGGCTTGAGACCCGGGACAGGCACGCGCACGCGCACACGCACGCAGCTGCGGCCTCCGGCGCGCGGCGGAGTCCGAACCGCGAGCGTGAGGCAGCGGGCGAATGCTGCCAGGCTGCGAGCCGCGGGAGGACGAACGAGGAAGATTCTTCCTTGGACGACGACGGAGAAGCGTATGCGCACCCTCGGTCCGCAAGCCCCTTCGGCCCGACCCGCTCTGAAGGCATATCGGGCGTACCCCCCCCCCCCTCCCCGCACAGAGGGACCTGCGAACGACCACGTGTGAAATCCGTCCCGTCGCCCTCCCCCGAAGTGTGCCCCCAGTAGACACCAGCGAGGCCCTCCGGGGGGGGGGGACTGGAAGCCCACGACTGAAGAGGCGACTACAGTCAGGAGCCACACGGCTCGTCCTCGTCCACCCGCCCACCATCGAGGATGGCGTAAACATGAGCTTTCGGAGATGCTTGCTCATCTCTCGGATCGGCGCTGGAACCTGAAGGGGCCTTGGGACACACAAATCAATAGACACAACAGGACTCCCAATATTTTCCCATAGTTTCTGTTTTTTTGTCTTCCCCCTCGCTTCCCATATTTCCTATTTTTTCCTGGGAATCGACGATGAATTGTGTCTGCGTGTTTTTTCCCCTCCTGAGAACCCTCCTCCTCGGCGCCCGCAGCGATCCGGGGGCGGCGCCAGAGGCGGGCGCCGACCCCAGAGATCCGCGCGGAGCGAGAGTTTCTGTTCGTGCAGTCCGTTTGTCCTTCGACGTTTGTCGTGCTCCGTGTTCCTCCTCGTTCGCCTCCTCCTCGTGGCAGGCCAGGCGCCGTTAGCTACAGGCGTGTGGTGGAAGCTCGTGCGCGATATGGTAATGGGGGCGAGCGTGCGCTGCAGGTTCGCATGGGAGCTGGAGAGGCACCGCCGGTTTCGGCTTGGAAGCTTGGTCTCATCGCGATGCCTTGTCGCCCAGGGACGGCCTGGGGGTGGGTAGTGCATCCTCATCTCCACCTTGAATTGTCCGTTGATCCTCTGGGAACAACCGCCAAATCCCGCTGTGGGGTAAGTACCGGGACAAGTGCCCTGGCTCGGAGTTTGCTAAAGGTGCACCTGGCCCAAGGTGCCCCCAACCTCGTTCGATTTGGGAGCCCCTGGGACCCTCTGGGCCTCGTGAGGGGTGCGCTGGAGGCCGAGGTGTCATCCATGAAATCCTGGGGGCACCTTGGGCCAGGGGCACTGGTAGCATTAGATCGGGCATGTGCTCCTACAGGCGGATCCGGGAAGAACAATCAAACAAAAAAGTCAAAAGATAGTCCAAAAGAGTCCCCAGACTATTTTTACTATTCTAGCATATTCCTGCTGCAGAATAACATGCCCGACTTCCTTCTAGCAGCACCCGACTGACGCTGGGACCAGTGCCCGGTGGGCGTGCCTCCTCTCCGGGAGACCGAGCCCCACCGAGCCCCGCTCCTGCGGAGCAAACGACGACACAAAACATAAAAACTCGGAGGTCCGCACGGATGCCTCGGATCGGCGCTGGGCTGGGTCCTCACCAGACGAAGCCAAGACGAATACACATCAGGGCGAGGATCAATCGGCAATCTCTGAGGTCGGGCGGTTCTGGAGCTGCCCTCGGGCGCCGCGGCCTTCTCAGAGCGTTCCAAACGGCTCTGCATGAGAGCGTCAGGGAACGCTCTGGAACGGACTTCTCCTCGTCCTAGCCCCGTCGCCGGAGGAGGAGGAGGAGGAGGAGGAGGAGGAGGAGGAGGCGGAGGAGGAGGAGGAGGAGGGGGAGGGGGAGGGGGAGGGGGAGGAGGAGGAGGAGGAGGAGGGGAGGAGGAGGGAGGAGGAGGAGGAGGAGGAGGAGGAGGAGGAGGAAGAGCCTCACCGGATCCAGGCGCGCGAAGAGCTGGGCTGGGTCCTCACCGGGTCCGGGTGGGGCCGGGTCCTCACCAGGTCCGGGCGGGCCGCCCTCTGGGTCCTGCGCCGCGCAGGGCAGGTCTGTGGCCGCGGAGCGACGGGGATCTGCACGAGGCCGCCTGCGCGCGCGCGCCCGCACTGCAGGGAGAAAACATCCTGGATGCGGGCCTCCTTGGGCCCACTGTGGAAACCACCCCCAACATATCCCCAGATGGTCAACAGCAGTCAAAGCATCGTCCCCAGACTATGTTCTGACGATTTCTGAGTACTCCTCCCGTAGAGGGACACGCCCGACTTGGGCCTACTGGAGCGCTGGGGCCTCCCCGACTGGCCAGCTGCTGGCCAGTCGGGGAGGCCCCAGCGCTCCCGCGACAAGGGGGTGGTGTAATAGATTTGGTGCAATAGATTTGTGGGGTTGCAATACATTAGGGGCGTGCAATGCATTCCGGGGCGCAAATGTATTGCTGGATTTTCGCGTGCAATACCTTAGTTGCACTACAATGCAATACAATTCTCCAGCGCAGTACGTTTGCAATACAGTTGCCCCGAATCTATTGCACCACCCCCTTGCAGCTGGACCCCCTTTGGGGTCGCCCAGAAATGGACCGTCGCCATCCCGGCCGGGACAGCGGACCCGCAGAAAGCCCACGCGAAGGCCCTGGTGCAGGAGAGGTGCCGCCGAGGCCCCGCCCCCGCTCCTGCTGCCCGCGTGCGACCGCCACCGCGCGTGCCCCTCGGATCCGTGCTGAACGTCGACTTCAGCGGAGGCCTGCGCATGTCCCTTCCATTGAGATGTCCTCCGTGTTCGCCTCTGGTGCCGGCCCCCCCGGCTTCGCGGTGCGCGATCCCGGGGATCCTGGCAGCAGTGCATCCCCCTGCGATGTGGCCGTCCGCAGCCCCACCTTCCTCGTGCTCTCTTGCTGTCTCGACTCGAGCTCGCAGAGGCGGAGCTGCTGGCAGGCGCGAAGCTTCGAGTGACCCAAAAGGGGGTTCCAGCTGCAAGGGGGTGGTGCAATAGATTTGGGGCAAGTGTATTGCGAATGTACTGCGCTGGAGAATTGTATTGCATTGTATTGCAAATAATGTATTGCGCGCGAAAATCCAGCAATACACTTGCGCCCAGGAATGCATTGCACGCCCCAGATGCATTGCAAGCCCACAAATCTATTGCGCCAAATCTATTGCACCACCGCCTTGGGTCAAGCCGAGAGGCGTCCCCCCCCCCGAGTCGAGGGAGGCGTGTGCGCGAGCTCTCCTGAGCGAGCGTCCAGGGGACGCCGGGGACGCGGAGGCAAGCAGCATGAGAATCCACCTCGAGAGCCGGCAGACCGAGAGCTGGGCAGCCCGACCGTGCCGAGACAAGGCTAAGTATCCCCTCCCCTCCGCGGGCGACCCCCCCCCTCCGTCCTGCAGAGGCCTCGCAGATGTGCCCTGCGTTGACACTGAGGCGGCTAGGGGATCGGGCGGGGGTCCTTGTCGAGGTGGGTTGCCACTGGGTCCCTCTCCCAGGCCTTCCCACTCCTCGCGCTCGTGGCTGGTTAGAGTCGGGTGCCCGCCCCTGGAGCGCAGGGCGACGGGGGGGGGGCACCCCTTCCTCCTGGGAGGGTGCTGCGGAGGCAGAGGGTGGTAGCCAGCTAGGCTCCGTGGCCCTTCCGCTGCTGAGGCCTACCCGAGGCCTCACCATGCAAGCCTATCTGCGGTCTTCACCATCCATCCAACCAACCTGGCGCGCGGAACGCGCCAGGGGTGGCGCCGAAGGTGCTGCCAGGGGGCTCCAGCGCCGATCCGAGAAATCCGCGCGGACCTCCGAGCTGTTGTATGTTTATGCCATTGTTCGTTCCCCGAGACCCGCGCCTGCCCGCGCTCTCCGGGGAGCCCCCTCCGTCTCCTCCACCTTCACCTCCTCCTCCTCCTCCCTCCTCCTCCTCTCCTCTCCTCCTTCATCCTCCTCCCCCCTCGTCCTCGTCGTGATCCTCCTCCTCCTCCTCACAAATCCCATCTCTCCTCCCCTCCTCCTCCTCCTCCTCCTCCTCCTCCTCCTCCTCCTCCTCCTCCTCCTCCTCCTCCTCCTCGCACCCCCACGCTCGCCCGCCCGCGCTCGCAGGCCCCCCCAACCCCCCGGCCGGGGTCCTGCGCACGCCGGGGCGCGAAGGCCTCGATGGCGTTCCCCTCGGCCTCGCGGCGCGCGGCGCGAGAGGGCGCGGGCCGGTTTCTGACCCTGCCGCCCACTCTGCCGCTACACCTCCTATGTCGAGAGCGGGTGTGGAGTACCTCAGGCTCGAGGGGCGCGTGCGCGCGAGGCTTTCATACCGAGTTCGCGCGTGCGCCTTTGAATGCTGAGCGTGCTCTGTGGCGTAATGCTCTCCGTCTTCTTATTGCTCCTTCTCCTCCTCCTCCTCCTGCTCCCTCCTCCAAAGAAGGAAGCAAATAATGAGAGGAAGAAACGTAACACGAATACGACTGATATCACTAACACTAGCAGAACACAAGCAACACCAAACAACACTGTATGTTTTTGTTTACCCCCTGCCCTCCCCCTGGACAAAAACAAAAACACTTTCTTACGCGTCATTATCCTTCTTTTTCTCCTCTTCCTCCTCTTCCTCCTCCTCCTCCACTTTCTGGGAATCGTCACTGTCCGTATTTGCGTTTGCCCTCAGCCTCCCTCCTCAACAAAGAAAACTGTGTGTATGTGTGTGTGTGGATGTTTCTTCTGTTTAGGGGGGCGAGACACATAAAACAGAAAACATCGCTGCTCCTCCTCCTCCTCCTCCTCGTCCTCCTCCTCCTCCTCCTCCTCCTCCTCCTCCTCCCCCCCCTCCTCCTCCCCATCCCCCTCCAGCGCGGTCCTCCTCCCCCTTCTTCGCCTCCTCCCACTCCTCCTCCTCTTCCTCTTCCCCACAAAGGATTATCGACCAAGGATTTGTTGCTAAGATGCAAGGCTTACCATGGGCGGGCCAAGACTTGGCCAGGATCACCAGGGATTAGCAAAGCATATCGAAACATATTACCAAGGGCTTACACAAGCTTACAGAAACTTACCATGACTTGGCACATCTTACCAAGGCTGGGCAGGGCTGAGCTGGGCATGGGAAGGCTTAGCAGTGCTTCGCAGATATTGCCAAGGAGTGAGGGTCTACGAGGGCTTAGCTAGGCCGAGCAACACTTACACGGCCTCAGCATGGCATTGCAAGGATCAGCAAGGTTTACCACGCTTACCTGAGCGTAGCAAGGCGTACCAACATCAGAAGGGCTTAGCAAGGCTGACTAAGCTTAGCAGGGCTAGGCAAAGCTTACCAGGGCGTTGCAAAGCTTACAAGAGCTTAGCGGGGCTTACCAGGGCGCACGAGGACTCAGCAAGGCTTGGCAGAACCTGCAGTCGAAGACGGCCCAAGACGGCCCAAGAGGCCCCCCCAGAGGCCTCCCAGACGGCCCAAGAGGCCTCCAAGAGGTCCTCCAGGAGGTCCCGAAGAGGCCATCAGTATTGATTTTCCTTAGATGTTTGAAGGATTTTGGAATTTGCTGCTTCTCTGCAGTCCGACGACTCAAGACGGCCCAACAGGCCCCCAAGATCGCCCAAGAGGCCCCCAAGAAGGCCCAACGAGGCCCAAGTGGCCTCCAAGATGGCCCCAAGAGGGCCCCAAGACGGCCCAAGAGGCCTCCAACACGCCCAAGATGGCCTCCAAAAACGCCCAAGATGGCCTCCAAGACGGCCCCGAAGCGCCCCAAGAGGGCCCCAAGTCGGCCCAGAAAGGCCCCCAAGACGGCTCCCGACGGCGTCAGACGTGCCAGGAACCCACCAAGATGGCCGAAATTGGCTCGAAGTTGGCCCAAGACGGCCCAAGAGGCCCCCAAGAGGGCCTCCAGGAAGGCCAGAAGAGGCCAACCACATTAATGTTCCTGAGGTGTTTGACGGATTTTGACAGTTCCTTCTTTTCGGCCTTCCGACGGCCCGAGACGGCCCAAGAGCCCCCAAAGATTGCCGAAAGATCGCCCAAGAGGCCTCCAAGACGGCCAAGATGACCTTCAAGATGCCCACGTGTTCCCCGAAGGCTTTCCAAACCGATTCGGGGAACACTTGGCCCGATGGCTTGGCAGGTCTGGCCTCAACGTTCGGCCACATAGGCGCTTCCAAAAAGGCAGGGGGCGGCGGTGGTTCGCCGTAGGCGTCTTCGATACTCCAGATTTCGTAATAAAGGGAGGGGGGTCTCATTTCGGGGGGGGTCTCTTCCAGGCTATCTTGGAGGGCCTGGGGGGGTCTGGGGACGATGCTTTGGAGGGTTCTCCCACGGGGGGGGGGTCTAAAACTTCTCGTCTGGGAGGGTTGAGACCCCCTCCCTTTTATTACGACATCTGGAGTACACACATCAGTCACGCAGCACCCAGAAACCGCAACAGCGACTCTCCCCCAAGAGGTCGGCGGTGCGGCGTAAAGCAAACAATCTTACATAATCGGCCCTTTCCGAAACCTCACATCTCAGGAAGGGAAAAAACACACAGACACAATTAATCCTCGATTCCACAGAAAATATGGGAAAATATGGGAAGTGGGGGGGAAGACAAAAACCCAGAACATATGGGAAAATATGGGGGATATTTTTATTTGTGTGTATTTATTTGTGTGTCCCAATTCCACTTCAACATCGCTCAACATCGACTGATTATGGGCGGCCGCCGGTCGACCAGTCGCGAACCTGCCGTAGAACCAATGCCGCCACGCCCAGACCTCTGCCGAGGTCCGTCCAGACCAGGATTCCGAAGAGAGCCCAGCCAGGACGACGAGCCGATGATCCTCACAGCGTGTTAGTGCCAACGCGTGCTTCTCCACCGAGGTCCTTCGATACGACGCAAGCGATGCAATGATCTGCGGGTGTGGCTAGAGGCCTCCTCAATGGGGTCAGAGTAGATGTGGTCGAAGGATCGCGCCGCATCGCCAATGCATCGCCGATGTATCGGCGATGCATCGGCGATGCATTGGCGATGCATCGGCGACGTTGGCGATGCATCGGCGACGTGGGTGTGGGGAAACACGGGCTCCACATCGAGCCGAACCGTCGATGCATCGGCGATGCGGCGCGATCCTCCGACCCCATCTACTCGGACCCCATCTAGGAGGACTGGAGTGGCTGCGAGCTGGGAAAAACACATCGGGCCAACACACGTCCTGAGGATCATCGATCAAGGGGCCCCAGGACACACAAATAAATACACACAAATAAAATGATCCCCCATATTTTATATTTTTTCTGTGTTTTTGTCCCCCCCCTCAGTTCCCATATTTTCCCATACTTTCCTGGGGATCGACGATGAATCGTGTCTGTGTGTTTTTGTTTCCTCCTGGACCTCGCCCTCCTCCGAGGTGTGCGGGGGGAGCGGGGGAGGCGCAGCCCCCCGACAGCACACGACGTTGCCGCAGCGTGGGCCCCTGGAGGTCTCGACGACACGCTCCCGCAGACCGCATGTTGGTGGGCTCCTTTCATTTTTTTTTTGGGGGGGGCCCACAAATCACGGGCGAAACGTGACCGAGACGAATTAATCTCGGTCGCGTTTCACCTAGGGCTTCTTCCAAACTAAATCCCTATGCCGAAATCACAAGCCACTGCTGACGGCCCCTGCGCCGGCCTCAAGCCCGCGCCCAGGCCGGCGACGCCTCGCTGAAGAGGAGGCTCCTTTCCCGCCGCCACCACCAGAGCAGGACGAGGTCGGGCGTGCCCTCCCAAAGGGAAAAACAAGCAGAAGTCCAACCACATAAGAATTCTCCCAGATGGTCCCCAGGCTATGGATTTACTATCCTTGAATAGTTCGGCGGTGGACAAACCTCCCTTCAATAGACCTCCCCTTAGTGAAAACGACCTGGGACCGAAACCGACGGACCTGGACCCGCAAAAATGACAGCCGCGACGCCCTCTCGCGAACCGAAAACGGTCAATTCCGTAATCGACGTGTCAGGGTAGGAGGTCTGTTCATGCCCGAATATTCCTCCTGAGGGGGGGGGGGAATCTCGGGGGGGGCGCCGCGGCTATGAGCTATGAGCTCGGAACCAGGCGTACCCGCAGCGCTTTGCGTCGAACGCCGTCGAATCGGCACGGCGTTCGACTGTGGCGAGATGCGCGCTGCCACCCCTGGGCATCTCCCGTGCTCGTGAAGGGGCCCAGGGAGGGGCCCAGAGAGGCACAGGTGAATGGGCACGAGCCCGAAGATTCCCAACATGCTTTTGCACACTCTGTGGAGTTCTGTCTCCCCCTCCACCTCCCGGTTCTGCTCATACTGCCCTGGGAATCAGCACCTACTCGCGCTGTGGATGCCATGACAATGGACACCCTAACAATGGCATGAACAACACATGTGTTTAAAATGTGTGAAAAAATGCCTAAGGCTCGGTTTTTTTAATGCTGAAAACATGTTTGCAACATGTGTTCGACACCTGGAAATGCTTTGGCAACATGCTTCCTCGCCATCGATCGTCCTCCACAATACTTGCGCCTGTACCTACCTCTAGGTCCCTTCAGGGGGACTTTGTGTGACAAAAATTAAAAATACTCAACATACCCCCAAATAGTCAAACATATTCAAGAATAGTCCCCTGACTATTTTTAAACTATTTCTGGATATTCCTCCTGTTGAGGGACAGGCCCGACTTAAGCCTACCTTCCCCTCCCGAATCCTGCCCTCCTCCGCCCACTTCCGCCCCTCCGCGCAGCGCCGCAAGCCCCCGTCGTCCTCGACCTCGCGGCGCGGCGCCGTGTCTCATCTGCCGCTGCGGCCGAGATCTGGCGACGTCCCCCTGCAGGCACAACGTGCCTCCTCCTCCTCCTCCTCCTCCTCCTCCTCCTCCTCCTCCTCCTCCTCCTCCTCCTCCTCCTCCTCCTCCTCCCCCTCCCCCCCTCCTCCTCCTCCCAAGATCGGGGAGACGTAAGACTCGGGTACGGGGGGCTCGGGTTGGCCCGACGGGGCCATCGTGACCATGACGAAACCCAACCCGAAATCTGACGCGAGCTCTCGTTGCGAGCATCCCACGGAAACTGGACCGTCAAAATCCCAGACGCGCTCGTCCAAACATGCCGGCAAACCCGAGGTCCGGCTCACTCGAGTCTTCTGCTTATCGGACAAGACCCCCCAAGTCGTCGTGATCTTTGCGACTCAGCGTGGGCCCCGTAGACCTGGACACCTGCCCCGGGACCAACTCCTCCTCGCGGGCCGCACTCTGATGGCCCCGGGGCCCCGCGATAGCTCCTAGATGCCGAGCACTGCAGAAGGACTTGGCGCCGTTGGCGCTGTGCTGTTGTTCACGAAGCGTGCTCTGGGCCCTCTTCCTCCTCCTCCTCCTCCTCCTCCTGCTCCTCCTCCTCCTCCCTCTCCCGGCCTGTGCCAGAACGAGCTTGCCCTCCGAGGTCTTCGCGGACGCCTGGCAGAGGCCCGCCCCCGGCGGGAGCCCGGGGCCAACATGGGGCTCGCACGCGCCCGTTCGCTCTCGACGTCGCCCCTCCGACCCGCCCTAGCACCCCCAACGTAGAACGACAGTCAGTCAACGAGCGGCGAAAATATCCGCGGCGATTCTGGGGCGCGACCCCGCGGATACGCGGTCGCGCGGATAGGTTCCGCCAGGGGCATCCGGGAGCATAAACGCCTCGTATCGGCGGGGCCACGGCCCCGGGGGCCCGGCCCGCGAGGCCGCGGATCCGGAAACGTTTTTCGCCCACGAGCCAGGCAAGTGCATCGCCTCCTTTTTCATCAAGCGGAAGGCTCGGGGAGGCACGGGTTGGGGAGACAACGGGGGAGGTGTGTGTGGGGGGGGAAGGCGAACTGGGTGCGTTGGAGCCAGACCTGACATCCCAGCCCCTCCCCCGCCCCACGTCAACGAACCCCGAACCGAACGGAACCGACTCGAACCGGAACCGTCTCGAGCCGGAACGGATCGTACCGTTCGGACAACCGTAACCGAATCGAACCAGTACCTTACCCAAGCCGACCCGGCCGAAACCGAACCGACGTCAAACCGAACCGGCCAAGTGAAACCGAACCCGAATGGAGCCTGACCGCACAAGGACGGGAAGCACCACTCTAGTCCAATGGGCTTATTGGGCGAAGAAGAAAAACAAAAAGGCGAGGGCGACGAGGCGGCGACGACGAGAACGGGAGAACGTAAGGATAGCGAGGACGAGTAAGAGGACAACGAGGAAGAGAAGCACAAGGACGAGGACGAGGACGAAGAGAACGAGGGCGAGCACGAGGAGGAATGCGGAGGACGATGACTTCGACGACGACGACGACGGAGGACAGTGAAATGCAATTGGAGGACGTTGAATCAGGAGAGGGTCCATGTGACCCTATCGGGCTACCCTGGGGGCCTCCTGGCGACGCGCGGGATTGTCTTGGGGCCTGTTGGAGGCTTCTTGGGAACCTCTTGGGTCCTCTTGTGGGCTTCTGGGGTCTTCTTGGGCTGTCTGGGCGAGTCGTGGGATTCTTTTGTAGCTTTCTTGGGCCGGGGGCCTCCTGGGGCGCTCTCGGGAGTCTCTTGGGGCGCTCTTGGCCCGTCTTGGGCCGTCTTGGGGCTCTCCTGAGCTGTCTGAGTGCCTCGTGGAATGCTCTTGGGGCCCTCTTGGGGCGCTCTTGGGCGTTCTAGAGACCCTTCGGGGCGTCTTTTGGGCCTTCTTTGAGCCGTTCGGCAGCCCTCCGGGGTCGATTCCAAGACGATATCGACTCGGAGCCCCCTCTGGAGCCGGATTTTGGAGGATGTCTCGTGCGAAACGGCGTTTTTGAAACCTGACTGGACAAGAACGGGAAGCGTCGTTTTGTGCCCTGGGCTTATGAGATATCCTACGTTCTTAGTATGCGTTGTGCAAGTCTGTCGTGGCGTGCGTGCGTTTGCGCGTGAGCGTGCGTGCGTGGAATGCGTGCATGTGCGTCCGTGCGTGGTGGTCTGCGGCACTGCTGTTGTGCCGTGCTTCTCTGCCGTGCTCCTGCGGTTTGCGTAAACGTATGTTGCCTCACTGTGTGTGCGTGTGTGCGTGTGTGTGCGTGTGTGTGTAAATGTTCGTGTGTGGGCGTGTGCGTGAGCGTGTACCTGTGTGTGTGTGCGTGTGCCTGTGCGTGCGGCTGTGTGAATAGATGTTCTGGGTGTTATAGTTAGAGTCGGGGCCTTAAAGGCGAAAGAAGAAAACGGGGACGGAAAACGGGGACAGGGCCAGGCGGGACCAAAGTTCCCGAGAGACGCCGAGTCCCAAGCAAAGCCAGCCACGCTTGCCTACTCACAAGGGAGCAACGGGCGCTGGCGGACAGGCGGGCAGGCCTTCAGTCACTCTCCGACTCCGAGCCGCGGCGCGCCAGGCGGCGGCGGACCCTGCGGCACATGGGGCCGCCGCTAGGCGCTGCGCCCGCGGCTGTGCGCTCCTCCTCGGCGGCCTCACTCGCTCCGAGGGCGCCAGCACTCGGGCCTGGCCGCTGCTGGGGCAGGCTGGCAGCCGCCGCCTCCACTGCCTGCGCTGCCGCTGGAGCCGCTGGGCCGCTGCCAGAGCTGCTGGCCGCGGCAGAGGCTCCGCCTGCAGGCCCCGCCCCCATGCCGAGCCACTCCAGGCGGCGCTCCTGGGCGTGTCCTGGCACTGGCCCTTGCGAGCGCAAGACAGGGATGCCCCCCGCTCTCACTCTCTGCTTGTCCGCCCGAGGCCTGCCTCCAGGATGGGGCCCTCGCTCCCGCAGGCTGCGCTGGTTCCTGCCTGACTTGTAAGTCAGGTAGCTGGGCCCTGGGCACTGCACCTTCAGGCGAGACTTGCCTCCTGCGTGGCTGCCCAGCATCTTGTAGGCGCCGCGCTTGGAGCGCGCCACGATCTCCTGGGTGTGCTCACCTTCGCCCGCGCAGGCGTAGCTGAGCACGTGCCCCAGGACGCTGAAGGCGACAGCGGTGGCCGAGAGGGCGGCCGCGTGGCTGGAGCGCCGCCGCCGAGGGCCTCATCATCCTGCGGGGGCTCCGCTGCCGCAGCGGCATGCACCTGGCCGAGCCCGCCAGCAGGAGGGGGCCCTTCGCTGCTCAAGGCCGGGCCACCGAAGTACTGCTTGCCGATGTGCCTGCCCGCAACAACTGGCCGTCGAAGCCTCCAGATACGCATCGTCCCGAGTACGTTGGGAATGGAGGCACCTCGCGCGTGCCGCGCCTTCGCGTACTGCTCGATTCCTGGCCCGAGCGGCTGCCCGATGGCGTCCCCGAACAGCAGCCGAAGCAAGAAGGGGCTGCAGTAGTGGTTCCGCCTCTCATGGCGGTTGAAGGCCTGCAGAGCACACGAGCTTGCAACTGAGCTCATGGCCCGAGGCTCGAGGAACATGGGGTCGAACTCATCGCCGAGGTCCACGACCATGCCCCACTCCGACTCGAGGCACCAGTCGACGCTCACCTGGGTCCGCACCACCGCGTCGACGGGCACAGCACAGCGCGCCCCAGTGGCGGCCATAGCGCACCTGGCTGCTGCCGCCTCCATTCCCTGAGCAGGAACCCTGAATGGCTGCTCGGCTGGCTGCTGCGGATCCGCAATCCTGGTTAACGTCACGGGAGGCCCAGGTGCGCCTGCTCTGCCCATGGGGTCGCTCCACTCGCCAGCGCCGAATAACTCGAGGGCCCCGACCACGTTCTCCTCAGCGGCCAGGAGGATGAGGACACCGCTGGGCCCTGCAGCGTGCTCTAGGTACCTGGGCGGGTCGATGACGCCTATGCCGTGGAACTCCACCAAGTCGCTCTCGACGGCCTCGGCGCTGCCGCACCCGTGCAGGCGCAGGCCCGCCGCGTCTCGCTAGGCACTCGCTGGCCCTGGCTGCGGCCCACCGACGCGGCTCCCAGCGGACCTGCCAGTAGGACGAGAAGCCAGAGGAGCCAGGTCCGCTGCCTCTGCAGCCAGCTCCCGCTTGCATGTCTGGGCCTCTGTCGGCCACTCGCCCAGCGCATTGCCGCAGCGCTCGGCCTGACCTCGCTCCGCGGCTGGCTGAGGCTGCCAGGGGCCACCGCCGTCTGCGAGATCGCCATCGTCGCTGCTGATCTCCTCCATGGGGCAGGACTCAGCCCACAGCGCACGCTTGGGGGCCACTGGGGCCCCCTCGAGCTGCGCCCGCACGGCCTCCATCTGGGCGCGAATGGCTGCCCACGCCACCTCGGAGTTGCTGGAGCCCCAGGCCTCTGGCAACTTCTCCAGCTGCATGAGGGGCCATAGCACCTGGCTGGCTCCGGTCCACTCGGCTGCGCGTTGGCGGCGCAGCGCCTCCGCCTCCTCGCGGGCTGCCTCCTCGAGCACCTGGAGCGCACGGCTCGCCTCCTCAACCTCCGCGTCGAGCTCCGCGAGCTCCTCCTGGGCCTTCTGGAGCTGGGCCTCGACGAGGTTGCGCGCCTCCTGCTTCTGCTCGAGCTTCAGGTGGGCTGCCCGGAGCCGCTTCTCACCCTTGCCGATGGCGTTCGCTTCCCTGTGGAGCCACGTCGCCCGTGGCAGGGGGGAGGCCTTCTGCTCCGCTGCCGCCTTTTGAGCCCTGATCAGCTCGGCGCGCTTCGCCTCCAGCTGGCTGGCCGCGACGTCGGTGAAGCAGCCGACCACTCCGTCAGGCGGCTCGGCCTGCAGCGCCTCGAGCTGCTCGACTGCCGCCTGGAGCCTCTCGATCGCCGCGGCGCCTCCACCGCCGGGCGCCCCACTCGCTGCCGACGCCGAGGTCTGTGACTTGGCGGAGGCTGCCCGCGAGGCCGCGCTGCGGGCCTGCCTCTGGGCACGGCGCCCATGTGGCTGATCCACCCAGCCGTCCTTGTCTGCCTTGGGCCTCGCCTTGGCTGGGGACGCCCCCATCGCCCAAGGCGGGGCCGCATGCCCGCAGCCAAAGCACGAGGCGCGCCAATCCCAGTTCCATCCTCCGCAGCTGCACATCCAGTGGGACTTGCTGCGCCTGCTGCTGCCACCGCCGCGCAGGGACCTCGCCATGGCCACTGCCGCGCTGGCCGAGGGGCTGCGCCTCCGCGCCACGGCAGGGAGCTGAAACACGAAGTGCACTGGCCCAAAGCGCGGAGACCCTCGCGCTCTGAGCGCCGCGAACGACTCGTGGTCGTCGGGTTCTCCATGGCCTTGAGCCAAAATGGCTACGGATATGTTCTGGGTGTTCTGCCGTGCGCCTGCGTGTTCTGCCGTGCTCCTATGTGTTCTGCCTTGTTTCTGTGTGTTCTGCCGAACTCCTGTGTGTTCTGCCGTGCTCATGCTTGTTCTGCCCTACTCCTACGTGTGTTTGTGTAATCTGCCGCGCTCCTGTGTTCTGCAGAATTCCTTCGTGTTCTGCCGTGCTCCTATGTATTGTGTGTATTCTGCCGTGCTCATCGTGCTCCTGCAAGGTCTGCCGTGTTCCTGTGTGTTATGCCGTACTCCTGCGTGTTCTGCCGCGTGTTCTGCCGTA